TCTTGCTTCCATGTGATTGAGCCGTTTTCTTCTTGCACCTCCGTTACTATAAGTCTGAATTGCTTCTACAACTGGATTGCTGCTACAGTAGTTTAAAATCTGCTTCATGCGTATGTCTTTGTGGTAATCACCTATTTATATTTAGCCCTGTGGTGCTCTCTTTACTAGCGCATCTATAAACGCTGATTTGTTGTTTTCTTCTGTTCCTATTGTAGCTCCCGGAAAAACGTTATTCAGCAATTTGTTCGCTCGTGGTAATCGTTCTATGTAGAAAGAGGTGTCATCCACATTTCGCCTCAATTGTATTGGTTTGATATATGGTAGAACAACCTGATCCTTTTTCGCATTGCACTGCCTGCAACGAATCCCCAGATTAGTGATCTCATTGGCACTGCATAACGTTTTCCACTGAACTCGAGCTCAGATCCCGTAGCTCACAGATTTCTCTCCCAAACATTCGGTCGGCGGGAAACATTCGGTCGCCAGATATTGGTTGTTACTAAAGGAGGACGAAGCAGAAACAGTGCAGGTCACATAGTCCTAGATAAACAACCATCCATATGATTGCTGCAGATGTTTTGTGGCCCATATCTACCAATTTATAATCAGCACTTGTTTACTGTCTGGCGAGCAACAGTTTTCCGACCAAATGTTTGCAGTCTGAATGTCCACTAACACCTAAATCGTACGGTAAACGGAATCCCTCAAAGAGCGTTCTGATGATAATTTGTCCGGGAAATCTGTGCTATCTTGCTGACACACGAAGGAATCGATGGACTAGACCAGAATCTTTGTACAAAAGAACCATCAATGATGCTCACTGTTGTGAATAATGCCCAGGTCAGCTTCGGCCTACCAATAGATATCTGCATTTTTGTCCGCCGATCTTATTCTGTCCAGCTTATTTGTCATAAGCTGCGTCAACAGCGCCTGTAATTTAACCACTGTGAAAGGGAGCCCATTGAGCCGACTACTGCCTACAGATTTTGCACCTGTAAAAAGTGACTGCCGAACTTGCCAGTACGATAAAATGAGCTGTTTCTCTGCAGTCATTCGTGGATGGCTCGCAGCTAACTAACTAAAGTTCGTATGTGTTCTGGACGTGAGGCGAAGTCTGAAAAAGACACGCATAGCTAGTCAAATGAATATGCTATTGATTCAAATGAATATGCTGTCCAGACATATATATTTTTTGCTGTCCAGATGTGTAAGTGCATCGTTCTCGACAGTTTTCATCAACGGCGTAGGGCTATTTCGCACAGAATCTCTGCCTTTACCATTTTTATCTACTCTTTACTGAGCCTTTTTCTCCCTCATATATTTATGACAGTTGAGAAACTGTAGGGGTAGTACCAGCGCTTGCTGTCAGTGACGATGATGATAATTACAAGCTTTCGTAGGTAGAATAACTCAAACTAAGGCTCATGGACGGACAAGGTAATGTCTGGAGGTAATGTCAACATACCAATGTAACGCCGAAAAACCTAGCATGCAGCACAGCTGGTTTTCCTCCATACTCGCAACTTGATTTTCAATCCTAACAGTGGGGTTAACACTCTCCCGAATATGGTCTATAATCGTTTTGCTCATGAGTACCTGCATCTTCACAGGAGACAGTTCGGACCTCGGATAACCAAGTACCTACCCCTGAAAGAATGGTCGAGTCTTCCCGTCTGAAAACGGTTTAAGGCCATCCTAGCAAACAACGTCCGCGACAGTGCCTTAGCCTTCGATATTTTGAAACACATCCGAACCCCGATGATTTCAGTTTATTAAGTATATCACCCTCGCCAGGTAAAAACCTTAGGTTTTCGCGCCCATAGTGAGAATGTTGTAGCCCGATGAAATGTAGGCAGATGAATTAATCTTTCCAGCAGTAAATTTGCTAACTTGTTAGGTTATTAAACCTAATTCGTGGGATACAACTAAAGATATTAACTGTTTTTCAACACGGCAATATTCCGCGTTTTTCAGTTGCAAGTGTGAACCAGGATATACGGAAACGTTTCACATTTTTTACGGCCCAGCGACGAACAGTGGCAAAGCACCAAGAAATAGGTATTCTATACTACAGGTCCGCAGTAATCACCGTTCCTTATAATTGAGCAAACTTGGCAATCTCTGGATTGAACTTTGTAAGCATAACACCGGCCAATTTTTTTCTGAGTATACCACTTCTCAAATATCCAGGTCTCGTTATTTATCCGAAACAAAATTTCCTTGAAGAATCCCAGGGATTGATTAAAAAGGATATTATGATGGTGATACTGTAGATTACAGTCCACAAGTACCCAACTCGATCTGCGACACCATCAACAAAATTGCGTCTTTTCTCAAAAACTAACTAAAAATACGTGCGGAAGCTGCAAACGACCCCTACAGACCAACACAGGAGACAGAATGATGAAGCAAATGTGGGAATCGTATGGCACACAGCTTTTGTTTAACAATAAAAGTGGATAATCAATATGAATATAGATATTATCTGTGAGAGTGAAAAGAATGATGACTTGGCTAGCAAGCCAAATGTTGTTTCCCAAGAACTAGTTTCAAATGCATCATAGCGAACAATTAATCTCGCGCAACCGGTGTAAGTATAAGTGTTATCCACTCTTATGACGGCAGGTCAATTTACATTTCTAACTTCCGTCTAGACACTACCGTTTGTCGCGTCGTCAAGATGGACACGGCTTCAACTACCATTAGGGTCTTTTGTAAGCTTAATCAATGAAACCGTACTGAAAGTCTTCTAGACCAATATATTGCCTAATTCCTCTCCAAAACGTACCTCATTGTTTAAGGTCACCATACCAGTGGAAGTTTTTCACTGTTTCATCAAGTCACGTGAAAAGTTTGCTTTTATGACGGCAAGATAGCATTTGTGATAGTCGAGCTTGGCGCTCTGCCAAATACTAGACACAAAACAGTGCCGCACAACCATGGCTTTGTCCGATAAAGGGTGGAGAAAACAGCTACGAAGGCTGCCACTGTATTCACTAGAGCTGGCCACTTATGATAAAAAAATGTCGCCATGTAATTAACAGACAGACACTCAAACGGCAGCTAGGGGCGGCGCATTCATTGTCTGAATTCCGCTTCGGACCAGGTAATCTATCCGAATTATCACTTCATATTGGTGAATTCCGCTTCGGACCAGGTAATCTATCCGAATTATCACTCCATTCATATTGGACCTTCACTGATTTTCTGATTTGTTATCCATTACGAAACTGTATTGGTCCGCTGAAACTGACTTCGCTGATCTACTCAAGTCATCCATCTCCTATGGAGGCTGTTCAGAGACGTTGTAAAGTAGCAGCATTTCCACAAGGTACTCGCTCATCATTTGGTGACACTTGTAAGCCATTTATGGTCGCCTGGACCTCCTGCATCTTTTTCGGGTTGGTATTCCCCCTAAAAGGTATATAATTCGGCAGTTGTGTGCCTCAAATGGGTTTTAGTCAGAATTCAGTTGTACTAACCAACAAGCCCAAGGAAAGAGAATGCGGACGAGTTGCGAGTCAGTCATGTAAGAGTAATATCGTTGATCACCGGACTGATCTAGTTCAAGTCCATCGATTTAGCCCACCAGTATATGATCCCGTGATACAATGACAATCATTCATTCTACACAGTCACTGAATTATATCGAATATTTCACAGGAGTGACCTTAACTATGCTGTCACGTGAATCGCAAACTCCTTCCCGTGGAATCTGATTGATTTGCAGTTTGATTTGCTCTGGTTGCGATTATGTTCCAAGGTATTTTCACTGACGTGCAGAAGCTTCATCAACAGTTGAGTTAATATAAACACTGTGTGGCGAGTGAAACTGCGTTGAGTTTGGACGCTTGTGGTTGCTACATGTGTATGAGTTAACATTGCCTATGTGCACCCTAGTTGATTGTTGGTCGCTTGGGTGAAATGTGGAATGGAAAGAATTGACAAGTTTTGGATCTCATTACAGGAACATACTTCAGATTCAAGGGACAAAGAGCGAAACAGCTGGAATGATCTCCGGTGGAGTCACCAGTTTATGGACTCGTCCACAGAGCAATAAGGTTGTAACTGGAAGGTCCTTCGCGAACAGCCAGTGAAGCGAAGCTCTGGATGTTCTGTTTGAGGGACACTTTCCTACGGGAAGAAAGCGGACTACCTGGTAGCTCTGAAGGAATCGGAATTGAAACGCTGCGTGGAGCTTTTATTTGAGGTCACCAATCGGGGAACCCGTCAGCAAGTGGTGGCGTGGTATGAACTATGCCATTAGGAGACAAGTGATACTAATTGCGCTGCAGATCAGACGATCGTGACCGAAGGGTGTACTCATCAGCCACCAGCCAAGATGTTGCAGGTTTGAATCCTCTTAGAGATTCCTGAGATGCGTGTAGCTGTGGATGTCCAACAAGAATACAACAACTTTAAAGTGCTTCTCAGCTTTTTGACGTAAATTTGCTTAATTGCGCAAGAAAGTCTCTACAAGAATCTCTCTATCAGCAAAGAGTACATTACGTTGAATATGCACTCGACCTGTCACCAAAATAGTAAGCGAGCATTTTCAATACATTCGCCATTCAGCATTTTTTACAGGGTTTTAAAAATTTGAAACGCAACGTTTGCGAATTTTGAGACAAGAAGCGACCGCACACCAATAAAACCTCAGAAGCTGCGCACGAACTTACATTGCTGCTAATATCTGCCTTCTTGTTAAAACACAAAACATATAGAACATTGCTCTAAAGATGCCACTGAGGGTGATCTGAGGAAGAAAACTACTGAAAAGTCACTTTTATTTTCGGGTGGTTGGATCAAAGAACAAAGCTCATATTGCAGCCCATAATTTCAGAAGACGTTGTAGAATCGTCCGATATTCCTGTTACCGCGACGACAAACAGCGGCTCATGTGGCCAAACGCTTAGAATGGTCTTGGGGAAGACGATGCGAGAAGTTCCGTGTCGACCTACGAAAAGGTGAAATGACACGAGTGATCAAGCGGTGGATACTGCTGTCGTGTTCTCCACAATGACAATGGTGCTATAACACAAAGCTGATGGCTTGCGGGGACCTGAAGGCTTTTTAAACGGGGATGAATGTCGCCTGAGTCGAAGTGTACGGGACAGTGGTTTTCGGGACCATTTAGTTATGCTTTGTTTGACTGTCTCCGTTGTCCCATCATCGTTCAGGTGTACGCGTGCTTCTAGAAGGTGACTCTGACGATGAGTATCCAAAACTGCACCACGCATGCGAGACTGGTGGTAGCGTCGTTTGAGTTCTGCCGTAACCTAAAAGACAAAACAGAAAGACGTCATCCAATGTAAGTGCACTCGGGTTAGTGAAAAATGGAGAAAAATGAAGGATTAAAAAGGGATTAACTGGCAGAGTTGTCTTCAGAAGCCTCAGAAAATTTTTACCCTGCGCAGGATCTGGTATCTAAAAGCGTACCCAATTTATTAGTGTCCTTCAGCATCGGACCAAAGTTCTATCCATTAGCGCTTGTATATATTTCCATATCCGCAAAGCTGCTCAAAAACTAAAGCATATCAGTAGAAAGGTGTGTGAAAACGGCTCATATAAAAGGGGAATGGTGGCTACCAGTCACAGCATACCACTTGAGATGGTGTGAAAAATATCGAAAGAGGGAGTTGATACAGCAAGTAGGTGTATACGAAGTTTTGGGGCACTGTCAATGCTAGTCTCAGTTTAGTGGTTCATCGATTTAGCCTCATGTCACTGACTTCCAGCTACTTGAAAGTTTACAGTAGTTAGAGTGGGAATCAATTTGCACGAAAGTTGGCGGTCCTTTGGAAGGTGAAACCACCTAATAAATGTATTCGGGCTCCGAAATTTCTAATATGCCGTACACGTAGTCATGGGGTGAGAACGGTGTATGGGGGTCCTAGCTTTGTAATCAGTTCTCAACACAAAGTAGAATGGCTCTACTGACGACACTTTCGGATTGTCGGCTTACTGCATGAACACGGAGTTTCACGAACAACGGATAACTGTTGTTCAACAATCATCCAACTGCGTACCCTAATCTCCACACCGTCAAGTCTCATCGCGATCGCTATCTAGGTCGCGTCCAATATTGGTGCATTCTCAGTGTGTCCCACTGTTGCCATATTTCGAATTTCCATATCGTAAACGAAATCTCACTTCACCTAATTTTGTTTAGTTCTGGTGAAAATTCGTGCATCCGACAAATTTGCCGTTGCTGAACACTTGATAGTTTCATATGGTTGAGTAGTACCGAAAATAACCGTGTTCCTGGACTACGTTCTTTTCAACCAGGTGAGTGTGCACCCTCGTACAGAAATGAGTTACATGAGGACCATGGATTTAATCCAATGAAAAATTACATATATTGATAGGGTGAAAGCTTTTCAAAGTATCCAACCATATTATTCGTCTTGCTTTAAAACCGAAATTGCGGGCAAGCTAAAAAAAACTGTCTTGGTGAATCAGCAAAATCCACCATTAAAAAAGGGAGCCATTGAGGAAGAAACCGCAGTGTTTTTAATCCGAGTCAACGTGCCATAAATATTTATAACTTGGTAACGCATTTTATTGAGCGTTTATTACGGATAATAGTGAGTAATAAATAGCTCACTTCCAAGGCAATATAGAACGTTTGAGCCAATGGTCAACTTAGCTCAAGTCCCTGGCCAGTGTTTGGCAAAATTACTTCTAAACGATAGCATTTCCAGAGCTTTTATGCGTTTTCACAACTTTTTTCTCCTTGAACCGTTTTACCTGCAGTTTCAAATGCTTGTAGATGTAAACCAGACCATTCTTGTGTGACGGTGGCTTAAGAAAACAGACCCGACTGTTACAAATTGTGATTCATCGTCTTACAGTCGAATAGTGTGCACCTGTAGGCAGCTGGCTACCTTAAACCACAAAGACCAAGCTTGGCGAAGCTTAACGATGCTACAACTATTCGTACGTTGCAACTTCAAATTTTTCTGTGCTTCGTAATCTTCAAAACTGGGTTATTCAGGTTGTGGTGCCAACAGTTAGTGGGTGCATCTGCTCACCTTTACAGGGTAAATTTACCACAAGTTCATAAACCGTTCTACAGTTAGTTACGGGACGTTACTCATAAGCCGGGAAACGTGTGTGGTCAATTAGACTTCGTCCTTCAGCCGAGGTCCACTTTCAATTGACTCCAGATCATTTAATTGGAGATTCCAAGTGATGAAGTTACTGAAATTAGTGACCCTGGGGATGCAAGCATTTCGCGTTGTTTGCCTGGATCGGAATCATCAGTGCCGTGTGAAACATGTTTATGAGTGTACAACTCAGACCAAAAGTTGGAAAAAAAGAACAAAGTAACGGTGAGTGTTCCTTCACTCAGTCGACGGTAGTTTAGTAGTCAAATGAACAACTGTTTTTGAACACATCGACCGGGTTTTGATCTTTCAAACGCAATCGCCGTAGGGATCTTCGTCACACGCGGTGACGTGTCAGCAACAGACGTCAACCAAATAACGACAACGGGAAGTTCGGGTTGGTAACGAATGTTAGGATAGGATTTGAAAACTAGCCTTGCCCCCAAACTGGATTTGATTAAGTGGGTCACTCACTGAACCCTGCACTGACGATGTCACCTCGATTGATGATGAAACGTTTGCAATTGGTCAAATGCATTGGCATCTTACCTGAGCCAAGTTTTTGTGCCACCTCGAAACCCAGAATTAGACACGAAGCATACACCAAACTGTAGCTTGCGATTATGTGATCGATCTAATTCAGTAGATCACTCCTTTTCCCAAGGTGATGGTCTCTGTATCCCGACCGTCACTGTGTCATTCCCTGATCATTGTAGCAGGGCTCTTTTTCCGGGCTAATTGTCGTTTAGCACATGATGACGGCAATTATGATATAGGTGTCCATTTTAAGACTGATAGGTTCCACCGAGTTTTTTATGCTATGATTTCTAACCAAACCACCTAATTTGTAAGTGGCAATCCGAGATCCTTGCTTTTACTTTGTCGTGTTTACTTTAGAAAAGATGCTTTACTATATGCTATAGCTCTGGCTGTGAACGACAGTCTGAATGGTCCACTTGCATGCAGCTAGAATTGTTTGGTTTGAGTTAGGAGCTCCTTAAATGGATATTCTTTTATTGTCTTCTGAAAATGAATAAACATGAACAATTACTCAGTCCATCAGCGTGTTTAGTCACGTTGGCACAAACAGATGTGGAGACGGCTTTCCAAAAGCCATCAAATAACACAAAGTCGTTAATGAGGAAAGATACTCATTTCATCAAGAGGATTCGCATGTAACCCCTGGTGGTTTTGACTTTCCAGGGATTTACATGTCAATGTTCGTTTCGTTATCACTGAAGGCATTTTACTTCTGATGAAAATTGCTTTCCTAACTAAACAGTCGCAACAAGTTGCTCAGTGAAGCTGAGTAAATTAACTGGTTGCATTCTAATTGGTGTGAGTTGGGGATTTATCACATACTCATGTAGAGCTCTTGTGCATACTGCTTCCGAAACAGATTCTCATATCAAAGACCTCCCACTGAATTCGACATTTGAGATATCAAAATAGCCTTCCTCCACAAGCTATCCTGGTTTGCTGGTACTGTAAAATAGGTTTAAAACCGAATTTTTCGGAAAAACTTTAGCAGCATTTGTGCTGTCAGGCTGTAATAATAACAAAAAGTATCTCCGAGCAGTGTTGCTAGTTATGAGTTGAGGAAAGGTTAGTTTTTGTCTTGGGAACTTGTGCAAAGTCCCCTTAAAACGACGAGCGGTGACCTGTATATAAACACCTATATAAACACCCAGAATTAATCGGGGGGTTTGTTCGTATCCGTTGATTTTATTTAGCTCAGTAATGTATATATTTATACTGTATTTATAGATACTACACTTTCAGGTAACCGTCTCCTACATTAACGGTAACTGCCGTATTAGCTCATGCATCGAACGAGTGAGCTGGAAAGAGACTTTTTGGATTGCGACGTCACTAAACACAGAGCCTTACCACATTACACATCCCGAATGTATTTCCTGGATAATGAACCGTTCGGCCTTTATTCAAAATATAGTGTCTCATACCGCCACAATGATACTGGACTTTACCGCGCTGTGACGTTTTGTGAACCTCCATAGCTCATTAGGCTGTACTGCGGAGAGTGTGTATCATCTACAGGGCTTCAAGTCGGTTAATGGATAGATGTCTGACCAGTACAGTTTCCTGCTCCTCTAGGTTGGGAGTTGAAAGGTGTTTATCGGCTTGCTATGCTCTGGTGTGGGCACCGATTTAAGTCGTCAATCTGAGGGTTCTTTGGTTCTTTCCGGTTTATCTGGCAACATCTGTGAGAATGAACCCTAAACGGGCCGATATTAGCTGCCTGTTTACTGCATCTGCCTACCTCCCAAAGTACTGCAGATCTGATGCAATCAAAGGGAGTTGTGTGACGCTATAGGCGCCTTATTGCGGCGGGGTAAGAGACCAGATATTATGGTGGTTTCCGGGAATGTGAATGCTTATGTAGGTTTAGCGTTGCTAAGGCCAAATTGGGTGGTCGTCGAATCGAAACGCGCTGGCAACGGCAAGCCTTCAATAAAGTAATGGGCTTATTTCAGATTGCTTCAATGCAGTACTAACTTTCGAAACGAACGAATCTAGATGGTCACGTGGTGCCCCTCATTCGAAGTTAAACTCCAAACCTATAACCATTTGCTGTAAGGGGTGTGGGCCAATTACTGACCTTCGCTCTTTCTAAAACTCCTATATGGATTCGTATCACATGCTAGTTTGTTGATGCTCTCCTCTTCTCTCTTCAGGGGCGCGCAAGGTGCTCCCACCAAGTCCCCCCGTCGAGAGGCCCTCAGGACCCGTTGTAAAGCAAGTCCCGTTCGGACAATACATCTTATTTTAGCTCTTAATGTAGCGTACTGTCCGCAACTCCGCAAGACTCTGGGGACCTTGATTATGTAACGGTTTGGCCGAACGGATATAGGCACTGAATTTCGAGTAGCACTGTGACGCTTGAATACCTTCCACTTGATCGAGAGCACAATACCATTTAACGGGCTGTTGCACATCAGATTACAAAGAGCGTCTGCGTGGCTCCATCTGATACGTGGTCCAGAAAGCTCAAGGAAAGAGGCCGGAAGCCCCATGAATGTGAGTAGATTATTCAATTGATGTGAGCAACGGGTCAAAAGAAGATTTACGTAAGCCAAACAAACAATGATAGCACTGCCTTTCTTATCTATAGCCAGTTCGACCGGCCACCTGAAGTCGCTCAGTCGTCAAAGCAGCCATGAAAAATGGTATTGAAACCCCCGAATAGTTCGAAAAAAAAAGCAAATGCCTTTCGCCCCTCAGTCATCACAGAGCTACTGGTCCTAACAAAATCCAATCAGCTCTGTTCAAACATGTAAAATCCTCTGCACATCAGATTACAAAGAGCGTCTGCGTGGCTCCATCTGATACGTGGTCCAGAAAGCTCAAGGAAAGAGGCCGGAAGCCCCATGAATGTGAGTAGATTATTCAATTGATGTGAGCAACGGGTCAAAAGAAGATTTACGTAAGCCAAACAAACAATGATAGCACTGCCTTTCTTATCTATAGCCAGTTCGACCGGCCACCTGAAGTCGCTCAGTCGTCAAAGCAGCCATGAAAAATGGTATTGAAACCCCCGAATAGTTCGAAAAAAAAAGCAAATGCCTTTCGCCCCTCAGTCATCACAGAGCTACTGGTCCTAACAAAATCCAATCAGCTCTGTTCAAACATGGAACTAAAATCCTCTGTCAGTGTTTGTCTAACCCATAAGTATGCACACTTGCGCAAAATTTCATAAATATTGTACACTGTTTGTATTAACATATTTCTCAGTGTATGAGAGCGATTGTTGAGCTGTCCAAAAGCTTTCTTACAAGCGGTAATATTGGAAAATGATATCTAATCTCCCCATTTTTCCGGTTCCGTTATTAATCAGATAACAAGGCGAACAATGGTAGGTCTCCGAAACCCCAGCATTCTCATCTCTGCTAGAGAGCACCCTGTTAACCTGCAATATGCCGACGAATTCGCTCATATTTTTTTAAAAGGAGCAGAAGGCGTATTACTTAAAACGCTGACGAAATTAATCCAGACCTTCAGCATGTGATTCGCGCCCACGTGATTCAAGGTCGTGCCGCAGGACGTACGATGTTTGAACACACAAGTGAAAATTCAGAAATGACGATAGAAATTGTGGAACACTACATATGTCTTGGGAGTTGCGTCAGCTCTAATGGTATTGCCGTAGAAGTGAACGCACGAGTCTCGAAGGCCTGACGTATATTTTCCAATTTGCGCTACTGTAGCATCAAAAGGGTATACTTCTGGATCTCAAAGAGCATTGCAGGCTGCATTGTGGCAAGGCCGTGAATAGTAACCATTTCGTGCGAAGAGTCTGGAATAACCTGAGGTCTTTGACCACTGACATCTCAGAACTATGGCCAAAATTTACTAGAATGGGTGAATTCAGTGCCGATTTCCGTACCTAACTTGGAGTGGTAGATAAAGGCAGAAAGAAACAAAGGGTTTCAAGAGTGCCGTTGGTTCCGTTTAATCCGACCCCACAGGCTGGCATGTTGGTACCTGTCAGATGGAATGAATAGCTAAGTTTCTTCATTGTTACTCACCCGCGTTGGACGACGTCAACCTAACCGATGTCCTAATGTGTCCATTGCAAAGCTGGTTAGAAGATGGTTACTCGTTCTCTCTCGTGATACGAAGATACTTGGCACAAGTTTCCCACCACTCCACCCTCTTTCTCCTAAGCTGATTATTCCCAGATGCTGTATAACACCGGTTACCACCGCTGTGCTCTCCTCTACGACAAACAGAAAGCCTGGGAAACGCATGGGCTTTTAGAGCTAATTGGTCTGCTGTCGTGATTAGTTCTGGTCAGCCGACCAACCATTAACTAGGCGAATGGTCCAGTTGAGGAATTAATTTTTCTAGTTTACTTATTTCGAGGCCATTTGGTAGGCGCAAAGTGGTCGAACGTGCTGGTTTTTACCCCGCCAGACCATAAGGAATGTGAAACAAAATATTTCCTTTGGGAGTTAATGACTGGCGCACTTAGAGTTGGTAGATTCTTTTAATATTTTAAATAATTCATGAGATGGGAATTGCGGCAAGACATCCATATGGCCTGTTTTCCCGAGAAACACCTTTGAGGGAGTGAATAATGTCTAACCGAGTTGAGCGACTCCCCTTGAAAGGATGACTAGGAATCACCTTCCGATATGCATTCTTTACTGAGGTAACAAACTTCACTTTGTTGATCCCTTTCTCCTACCTTTTATATTGTACAACGCGATTCCCCCTTTTTTGTTATTTTGGTCTGTGCCTATACCACCCTTGTTGTTTTTGACCTGAACATAAACCGTTCTTTGACCTTGTCATCGGACGTGTCGTTTAAGTTCACACGTGGTTTCGCTAGCTTGTAAACACGTGGCTCCGAGTCGGCGTGGACTTTGAGACCCGTTAGGAATTAGCAGTTCCTTAACCGGTGTATAGAAGCCGGCATAGTCCCACGATTTGAGGTTTGTAAAGCTTTATCATTTTATTATTGTACTTATAGTACCGCATTTGTAGATAAACCTCCATTTGAAAGAATTGGCTTTTGGGGTTTTGCGCGTAACTCGACGTGGTTCAACAGATTGCTGGAATCAATCTATACACTTTGCGTCCTAGTGTTGTTCACCAGCCTTCGTGAGGTTGCAAGAAATCTCCAGTCATGAAGCTTGATATGAGAGAGAAGTTTGGTACTTAGGTTTGTTCATTTGGGGGTCAAGTGGATCATTGAGTATAGCGGACTTTTCACCAACCTACTCGTGCTGTTAAGTGGAGCAGAAATACGCATTGATGGTTTTACCAGCCCAGATTAATGATGAAAGTTCTGCATAAAAATCGCCAAACACATCGAGCAAATATACTGCTAACTTGCAAGGTCTATTCTAATCCTTGTCATCTAATTTGAAAATTACCGGTGATTTTCTTATCTAGGTGAACCCGTACACGAGCAACTAGACACAATACACCATAAAACGGAAATGTTCTCACTGAGGAACCGAAGTATTTTACCCATCTGCAACTCGAAGAGGATAAGTTATCATGATTTTTTTGCGCTGTAGTTCAGCTGCGTCGTCTTCAAGCGGGAACTGTTCCTGCGTACGTTGGTATGCGGGTAATTAAATATAAAGTACCGGTTAGTTCAAAGTGCACTTTATAAAGAAGACCAATGCGGCGAACTGTCGATTCAGCTGGGATTCTGAAACAACCTGTTGTTAATTAGCGTACAACCATCTCTGTGTGGTGTCACACTGTGTGAATTGCAGCAGCCCTTCCTCATTTCTGGACGGTTCCTCTCTTCAAGGGAGCTGCCAGGCAAAATATTTCGCAAGTTCAAATCCTCCCTTCAGTGGAGGTATTTCTATCGAGGTATTTTCTCTAGGGAAGGGAATAATGCTTTTCCTCGGACCTCCACTACGTAGTGACGTGAAAAATACGTCGCTGTTCACCAGGGGACCATGAGAGCCAGAATTGTTGATTTGAATTATTGTAAATAGCTAGGAGCGGATTTGAAACTTCACCAATAAAGTAACAAACAACTGGTCAAAACTTGACTGGAATCCAAGGTCATCTATTCTATCTGGACGCCGTAATAAACAGCATGACTCACCTCTTTATTCATAAAGCACAGGATTAAGGCTGCACAGAATCCCTGAAATGTAGAAAAAAAGCAAGTAGGCCATCGGGATCGAATAGGAACTTCACTAAGAATGAAGCAATCATAGAATATACGAGCGCGATTTCCAAATGGAACTATCAGCTTCCCCATACTTTTCTGTCATGCAGATGGCCTCGTTCACGAAAAGCAAACCTAATCTACCTGAAATGCGTTAAAATGACTGCGTGCGAGAGGGAACGCTATCAAGCAGAAGGATGGACGCTGAAAGGCTAATATAACTGCTATGTGTATATTATGCATGCATTAACGAAACGCCCTTATTTGCAAACAGAATTGCTTTTGCGGGATACTCAGTAACGAGACATTCAGCTTGGTTCCAAGTGAGTCTCCCGCAAGTTCGTGCAATTTGGCTTCAAGTAGAACATGACGGTGATGGAAACTCGGGGGACTGCACCTACCTGATGCGCCCCAAGAACGGTGAAGTCGGTCGTGGGCTGTCGAAGAATTTTCAGCAACCTTATGTGCAGTGTATTAGATATGAGTGTTTTTTGGCCAACCAGGACACGAGTAAATGCCTCGTTTGTGCTCTAAAACGTGTGTGCTGCACACGGTTATGCTACTTTAGAAACCAAAATGTACATGATCGGAGGAACGCAACACACAACGGTGTTCAAAACCCTGAGAAATTTTACTGACGTTTCGCGTTTCTTAAGTCTCATCATGTAGAGATAATCTTCTTGTCTCCGTCAACTTTTTGTTCCGTTTGGACTCCAAACTTCACTCAAATGTGAAAGTACACTCATCTGAAAACTGCATTTTCTTTGAGGAAGGACAACTAAAACCCTTGGTGTTGAAATGCTTCGACTGTAGTTCCTTCACAAGATTTCAGCTAGCAAGGTACTCGAGACATTAAAACATTTTCTTGCGCAGTTGTGGAACGTTAGTGAGTAATGTGTTGTTTCAACTGTTTTTTTCGTGTGTAATGTATCTTATTGCAAATGCTGTTTCGAAATCCACTCTACTACACTGCACTTGTGCTTATTTTACGTATATGTCTGCAAATGTGACTCCAAAACACTGTGAGCTTATAGCGGTGATAGATGCTACCCTCTGTGAGCACGGTTGTGGAGAACAGGCTGAATCGGGGCTCACATTAGCTCATCACTTCTGTCTACTGGATGAGTCCTACAAATGGTGCTATGCCCCGCAGATCCCAACAGTTGTCCTGACTAAATTTGACCAAGATGGGCAACTAGATGGGAATGTTGATAACGTCAAGACTTCTTCTCGCTGCTGCTCAAAAACCGGCCTTAGTTCCTCTTGCGTAAATCGAGTGTACACATGCGGCTGGGCGAAAATGCTGGACCTGCCTATTATGCACAGGAGGCCATCTGCCCACTCATTTGTGACAAGCTCATTAGGAAATGGGTACAATCCCACCACATCGGCCGGATAGCCCCATTTGAAAGAAACGCAATTATTCCAACTCAATCAACGTTGGTTACTAAGTGATTGCTTAAAAAACTATAATTAGATTAAATTAACATCGTAAAATATAATGGGATTTCTTATGAAGGCAACATGTAAAGTCAGCTTGTTCAGATTTTCAAATATTTGATAACGAGATGTTCTGAAAGGAAGCAACTATTGATTCAAGCTGACCGTAGGCTATCCCAAGTGGTGTCTACTTGAACATTATGCAACTTCAAGGACGTCACTCCCCATTGAATAATGCGTGTAAATTCTTAGATTTCCAGTTAAATGTATCATCACAGAAAAGGTAAAGAAGAACTTGATTTATAAGAACACTTCCCATCCAAGGCAGAAGTTTACACATGGGAACGAGTGAAATAGTTGTCGTAAGCTGATCTGCAAGAGGAAGTTTCGATTGCTTCGCAAGAAAGCTGTTTTCTGCAAGAGACTGACTTGACAATCATATTCGCCGTGATTGTTCACTTAGATAGAGTATAGCTAGGGAGAAGTTATCTGAGTTATCTGAGTCCCTGCCCCTTACATTAAAATAATTATGCAAATGCAGGAGTTGAAGCGTGGAGCAGTTAGAAACATAAGCCTAAATGTGAAATGAATAATAAATAAAATAAATGTGAAAATCAAGGACATCTACTCTCTTTTGAAAAAGAGTATGCCTTGAACAATACACCTCTCAAATAATTACGTCCAACATGACCTAAACTATTTGCGATCGCAAAGGTGATCGGAATCCGATGGCATGCCCAGTAAATTTTCTTCCCAAAGGAACGTATGTGACTTCAGAACTTGGATCGGCCTACAAAAAAACCGGTCCCACAATCCTCCCTGTCATTAATCAAACTCAGTTTACTACAAGACTCATTAAACGCATACGTACCCTCCTATTGTAAACAAAGAGAAGCCAACCATGATCTTAACACAATTGTTTTACGTGATTTTTGCGACGGATTAAACTTGTGATATATTAGCCTTAAATAAGCAGGTCTCTACGTGAATCCAGCATTTCGAATGTACTATTAGGATTCTTTTCGGTTGGTAAAATCACGTACTCTGTGTGTTCTTGGTCCAAGAATTGAACAGAGCTGGCCTGAGTACCCTTGAAAAACCGTTCCAGTCAGAGCTGTATGAAAGTTCGGCTTCGTTTAAAACCGTACGTCACTGCCTCATAGAACGAGGACACTTATAAAACGTTTATCTGTTTACTTCCATGTTGTAAGACATTTATTGAAGAGAAGGCCACGGTAAGTTTCCGAATATACTGTACATGACCTGTGTGCTGGTGTCACAAGGAGTTGCGCAAAGGGCACTGTAAGAGGGCATACTCAATGCCGTTTGTTTTGGAAAAATAGGCCTCAGTTATACTAGCCTATGCTTGAATATCTGAGCAGTTTTATAATATAAGAACCCAGTGGGTCACTATACATATTTGTATCTAATCTAATGATAGCTACTCCAGGAAACCATAAATCAATAGGAGCATTTGGTATGTTGTCAGATCACTCCCCATTTTATCACGTGATTTTACCCAGAATAGTGTCGACAGTTTCTATTTCAAAAGTGGCCACCTGTGCACCAAGAAACCAACAACATTTACGGCTCATCCATGACGAATTCTTCAGGACCAGAAATGATTATTTGTAAACTCAACAAAAGTTTTTCAACGATTTAGTTGACTAATTTAAGTAATATGAATAACGAATTCTGATTATCCTCTAATTGCTACGTGTTTGCGAAACCGCAGATCATTTGTGATGCAATTTCACAACAGAGTCAAAAAGCGACTCACACCGCACGGAAATTGTATCTGAAAAAGATATTGCTCAAGTATCGTATCCAAGCCAATATACTTTACGGATTTTCTCTTAAATCGTTTTACTCCATTGCTATGCACCATATGGGTAACTACAAATAGAAGATGCTATTTCACGTGTGCAAATAATCCGGCTGGACTTCGTTCATAAATAAAATTGCAAGCAACTTGGGATCTTATTGGATGTTGTCGGGAAGTTGCGTTTAACCGGATCTGTCATGTGATCCACAATTGAGATCTTGGGTGTCGAGTGAAGTAAAATGGTGCCAATCACTTGGGGGGAAAGTGGTTATCGTTTATTCATAAAGAATAGATGTTACATCGCTTTTTCATCAACTGGTTCCTCATTAAGGTTAAGCAAAATCAGTGGGCTGACTAACCATATTCGCTAATCAGACAACTTCTAGAGCGTAACTTCTAACCGTTGTAGCATGTTGTTGATAAGGTATCATTCGGGTACTTACAAACAACAGTATGCAAATGAAGGCGCCTTGAAACGAATAAATTATCTTCGCATGGTCTTCACTCCCCTATGAGCACTTCTATTTTACCTCTACTCTTACTGGTTGTAAGAAGGCAATCAGAAAATCAGTTGGTAATCTGATTTAAGTAGTGCCTGACGGATAGAAAGATGTAAAGATGTGAAAGGAAGATCTTCAATGGGTTCAAACGAGCTACAAAAGGCTGCGTTGAGTCTACGCCTTTCAATCATGTAGAGATATTGGAACTCACCATGAATAACTAAATTCTGTCAAAAAGTACTTTGCATGAAACAGTCGAAGTCTGTGCGATATTTTGTCGATCAGTTTCGAGTTTTTTTACAGAAAGCTGGAATTCTCTTTTGGTTCACCAAACAGTTACACGGACCAAACTGTTAGGATAAGTCATTTATTTGACGAAAATTTGTGAAAGAATGAGAATGAGGACATCCCGTTCATAAATATGGATGAAAATGAAATTCAGAACTATTATAATCTCGGGCGATGGGTAAGCTAGTCATTCGTTTCTTTGTAATCAACAGCAATTTAAGAGCTCAGATTTACTTAACCGGAACATTTTATTGACGAGTAAACCATCAGTCCAAATGATAACTGTGTTGTATTTTGGGAACACCCGGTTGCGTTCTTCAATAATGTTACTGTTCAGAGGTTGGTTAAACCACTGAATTTTAAATTTATTGACGAGTAAACCATCAGTCCAAATGATGACTGTGTTGAATTTTGGGAACACCATGTTGCGTTCTTCAACAATGTTACTGTTCAGAGGTTGGTTAAACTACCGAATTTTAAGTTCCGAACTGCAGAAAGTGGAGGCGCTGAAAGTTTAAATCATTTGCTACAAGTAATACCGAGGAAGGTCATGTTAGCAAACAGCTCAACGAGACCGCTTGCAAATCAACTCAGTATATCTAATGCAAAATCGCCTTTGGTAGTAAACGTCTTAGTATAAAATCAACCTCAGTTTGTACCAACCTGAAGTCCTTCCATAACATGACGACAATAGAGTTTGATCATTTCAAGTTGTTCGATGCCGTAATGTGCATGTTGCGACTCCATCAAGTCCAACGGCAGGAAAACCAGGTGGTAGATTCCAAATATGAGAATAAGAACGCATATAGACTTCAAGAGAGTTCTGAAAAGGCCAGATGAAAATGAAGTCCATAAGAGACTGAATGGCAATTGTAAACAATTAATACAAACCATGGTCCCTCAGAAGTGGGCTTAACGTTGGATGTTTCCAAATGAGCTGACACTTAGCAAGTATACCAGAGTGAGGAACAACAAATCTGTCTTACAGACATTGGATAGTCACTTTTGTAGTTGATCCCACTTGATAAGACAGATACCAAAGCATAGTTTACTTGAGAGACGTCAGTAAGATTGTTCCTCGTCGACCATAGTTTGCACTTTTGTTCCGGTGAACCAAATCTGACATCATCTAGTGAGTAATTCGACAATTTTGCCATATAAGCCCCACTTTGACGATCTATGCTAACCATGGCCTGCCATTTTGGGCTGCCTGGTGGAAAATTAATTTTTCACAGCAGGGTGTAACTTTATTCTAAACTGATTCTAACGTCTCATTGCGACAGGGCGCAAAGTCACTCATGTATTATCTAAAGGGTCTATCAATGGATACAGACAAAAATACTTTTGGAATATCCTTCACTACCACGCAGCCGTTCAAAGAGTAGAGAGAGTGGTCGAACATCCATCTGGTCTAAAAAACACTCACCAGACACAAGCATTGAATAAATATAAAGTATGCAATTTTCACGCACGTACCTTTCAAACGGCCACAAGCAAGTTGTGTTTTCTGGACAGCATCTTTTCACCAACCGGTTGGTAATTTTGGTCACGTATTTCCTTTTACATGGAACCAATGCTAGGATTTTCATCTAGCAACTGATCGATCGCCACGTTCTCTGCTAAATCCATTCACTCATGATTATGTGGTGATAATATACTTGGTAATTCCACTGGCTATTGTTTCTGTAAGAATGTCAAACTTTTGGTTTTTGTCAATCATTTTTTTTGGTTTTAATGAAGATTCCAGCCTACGCGCTCAGTCAGGTATCAGAAAAAAGTTTATTGCGTGCGAAGCTGCTTAGCTTTGTTTTTCATCCAGTTTCTACTTTTCCTTTACTCGATCTCCGAGTTAACGTTGTGAAGACAGGTAAAGTAACCGGTTTCTAGATTACTTGCCAATCGAGAGTGTAAGTTAGCCAATGAGTTTGCCAAAGAAAGCCACATTTACAAATAGTTCTCATATCTAAAGTGACCTAAAAGCTTCTGAAGAATGTCTTTCTGACGTTGAGTCCTGGGAGAGTAATATTATTGTGTAATTTAATACTATACCTGACAACATGCTCCATGAGCTTTCATTCTAGAAATCATACTCATACTCGGTATAACCAAGCCTGGTAGGCTTATACTAGATATCTCTGAGTCCAAGCCGATGAACAGTGTAACTGTAGACGGCTCATTATTTTTGAGCGCTGAAACAGATCCATAATAGCGCTGCGCTCAAACAATTACAATCATCTGTTATACCGTTTAAGATTGCAGGTAAAAATATCCTTTTTCCTCAAGTTACGCACGACCACGCTTCCAAAAACTTATTCCACTGAATTTCCAATGAAATCAAATGATTTAGGGATTTCTAAAACAGTTTAATACAGTTAGGGAAAACCGTCTCTTGACATAGAGCACCTGGAGTAGAAAAGTTGTCACACATCCAGTCGCTTAACTAAGATCCCAGCTGGTGCGTTCACCCACCAGTGGCAGTGGCGCACTTCACGAGGCCGATATAAAAACGACGGTTTGTTAGCAAGATGACGGATACTTTCTCATGGGACTAATGAACTTGCAGATGCAAGTAGGGATGAATAGACAAGCGGCATAGTCAAAACCCGAGATACAGTGTGTACGACGTTTTTGGATTGTAAACAACTTCATCCCTTCACTACATGATGAATAACATTTTCCACATCGATTGGTCTATGGGGGGATGAGTATATCCCATCTCTATTGGGTGACGAAAATAAAAATCTTTTGACCCGGTTCTCATTTCCTTGGCCAGCTTTTACGCAAATAAACAGAACAAATAATCTTTTGCAATCGAAGCGTTTTGTGTTAGTGTTGGACCTGTTATCAGTCAAGGTAGGATTTGTTCAATCGTCACAACAAAAATATGTTGGCAAAATCGATTCAGCAAAAAAATTTAACTCTCAATATCACACTGTCTCACTTTCATATCAAGTGTCCTTCCGAGTAGGAGAAGCTCTAAAAGCTAATGATTTTCTCCGAATTTTCGGCTTTAGTGGTAGAAATAATCGGTGCAGCCAAACCAACTGACATATGGACCCAATCCAAGTTTATCACACAAGAGATGGGCAGAATTATTTTTTTATGGAAAACGCAACCTAGTTAGACTTGGCTAGTGAGTACTTCGGTTAGGAGTTCAAGTTTGGAATCCAGAAGATTCTATGGACAAACTATTTAAACAGCTGAGGCGTCCCAAAATTGTTGACTGGGTGGACAGGTAGTACGATAAAAACTCTATCCGTAAGGACATTATTTTCGAAAGAAACGAACCGGCGATATTCACTCGATCTTGTTGCGCTATAAATTAGGTGTTAGAGATATCGGTTAAGACCGTTGGATAAAGTCCCTCGCCAACATTATTCTTATAAGTTCAGCCTAAAATCTCGCGTTCCACGTTTTGAACCCCACAATATTCCTAATTCACGGAACCTGAATTTATGGTACTTTGTAGTAAGCAGCTCCATTATACTGTGACCATACGAATTAGACGTTATCGAATCAATAAAGCCATGCTTGCTTGAGTGATATGAAAATTTCATGTGGAATTATAATTCCTAAGAACGAAGGTTTGAAAATTTTTCCTGGACTTTGACTCAGTCCAGCAAGATGAAAACGTCTCAACGAAACCCATTCAATAAAACTACCGATGATGAAACCCAACATACTTCAGACGTTGTTTTTCGGAACAAGCGGAAGAAGAGGCTTGATTCATGAAGCAAAGCGAAACTCACTTTACCCGAGAAGTTTCACATGACGTTTGCGATTTCATCTTGACTAAGACCAGGCGGAAGACGTTGATGGAAAAAGCCAGGTTGAACTAAAAATCAGTCGGAGGAACACAAATTACTCATGTGAATGAATAGTAGTTCCGTGGAAAAATTAATCCAAGCGGCTTCAAAATTTCAAATGAGCTCTGCTGGCTCAAAGCGTGCTTCTTATATTGTTAGGAATCTGACTACGGGTAGATAGTTTAAACTGCCAGGATTAACTGACATTGATGCCACTTTTGCGTAGAGTTTAAATAAACAGAAGTAGTCTTCTTCCGGTCTATCTGCGTCAACCTAAGCGGTCCCGGTGAGGACCCGATCCAGGACCAACCACACTTTCCCGGCACCCGAGTTTTGAGGTAAACAACATGGTGGTGTAATATGATTTGGGCGGACGCAGCCTCTTACAGCCCTCACAATGGGACATCCTACAGCATGTGTACTATGGTGTAGTAAAATATGGTTTTGTGCATCGTGTAGTGTTATACAGTAAAATATGGTTTAAAGAAGAACAATATGTGCACAGTAGTATGGTGTGCCGTGATATATTACAGCACAGTATAGTGCAGGATTGCACAGGATAGGAAAGCGCGGTATAATACAGTACACAGAGTCCGGTACATTACCATGTAATGTAATGCGGCATAGTACGGTGAGATGTATTATGTCACGTTAGGATGTAATGTACAACTCAGTAAGAAGCCTTTCACACTTGAGGCCCATATGGATAGCTCCCCACAAGGTGTAGAGACACTCCATTGAGACGGACGAGGGAAACACCTCCAAAGCAAAACTATGCTGGATGTCCGTGTGGTGGATGTTCGTTACTTAGTGAAGTTTATCACATGTTTCTATGTGAGAGCCCGAGAATGAAAGAGTTCAAATGTTAAAACGGTATTTCAGGTATCGAACTTGACAACAAACGTTTGAGATGGATCGCTGAAGGTAGTTGATATTATCCTGGGCTCATGGGGCTTGCTTCTATCATCGAACATCGGCTGAGTGAAAATTCGTATTGTGCCGACGTTAGTATTATAGCTTAACTATCGTCCTGTATGTTCTCAGCGAGTTAAATTGGGACATAAACTCGGCCAGTCAATGTACCCACTGGAAAATCCATGATTGGTACATTCTTCCATATACGACATGTATGGAACAACAGTTTGTTAAAGTTTGCTGGGACCAGAACTGAATCAACATCCGTGCAGAGCTAGATTTGATCAATGCAAATGACTGTACAATCGAATCTGATCGTCTTTCAATAGGAGGGATTTGCGGATCAGTTGTGCGACCGTGTAGGCCAGTGTGAAAATTGAATTGATCAAACAGACCGCTTGCGCTAAACCAAACTGAAGGGACCTTCAGTCGAGAGTTCATAACCACTAAGAACATATCAAGTACTCATGAAGGACTCCTGAAACTTCTTATTTGATGGTCGTTTTGCGGAACATTAGATGTCCATGGCAGTTCTGTACTGTTCAGCCTAATGGATTCTCAATTCGAACCTTTCGACTCTGGGAGGAAGAAATCTTTCAATCGATGTTTCTCCTCTAACAAAGTCGGTCTACGCCGAAAGGCCAACAGACAGCTGTTTCACTCTTATTCAAAGTCATCAACAAGACGTATCTCATGAGCTTCTAGGGAGATGAGAAATCGCACTCAATCGGCTAAAGACCAGACCGTTCGGCTACGAGTGGTCGGTTAGCAATGTAGCTGACCTATTTTAGGCTAAATAACCTCCGATCATCCTTCAGTCACGGATCTCGCATCACATGGTCTCTAGCAATAAAGACTGGAAGTTATTACCAGAAGCTGTCTTCCCGAAAGCAGGCACAGCATCTCATCTACTGCTGACATTCGAACGCTTGCGAATACACCTCTAGCTTTTACAATGTTAACGACGGTAAACCCATACATTTACGCCTTTGGATAATGTTAAACAATATAATGGATCTTAGCAATTAAACACCATTCCAGAATGAAGACATTAGAAATATTGGCAAACAAGTTTTTCTCACGCCCAATAATATTGTCATCTACGTTCATATTTAGTGTGATAGACGGACAACCGGCTTGAACTTTAGGGGCTCAGTAATACGCGTGCTGCATGCCCAATAAACCAACTGGGAAAACAATATAAACCGTTCAATTCTGTGATGAAGCTTGCCGTATGAGGAATTATCTAAAAACGGTATTTTCTGTGCACAGTTTTACTGAAAAGGACAAATGTAGTCAGTTTACAACTAGCATCCAAATCATCACGTTACATAAAATATGGCCGTACCAGGAGCATAACCACAGGAGACAATGAAAGGAGTAGACGACTCGGACTGTGCAGGGTGTTGTCTAGTATCCAACATGTTGTGCCTGTAGTGATGGTCAACCGTAGAACGACCCAAACAGCGGTGAGAATGATTGGAGTGACTAGGTCCAGATGAAAAAAAAACAAAGATCGTAGTGTGAAAGTAAACTTAATGAAACATTGAGAAGAGTGGTTTGGGAGTTTGTGACAGAATTCTCTCAACTGATGAATGCCACGAGCATTGCCAAAGTACTGCAAGCATAACAACAAAACGAAAGTATATATGAGTAGCGCTCATATAAAAGGGATGACACTCCAGCCAACTTCTGTTCGATCCAAGTAGTTGTGGCGGAAGCACCAGTCTGATCGGTCCTCTAGCATATTTCTGTAAGACAGTCAAAATGTAGCTCGCTCGCCTGCAAGCTGCTTTAGTCATCGTTATTAGTTTTTATGGGTTTAAGGTGATGAGAAGAATAAAACGTTTCTTTCATGTAGTATACAAAGGTGTATTGTCTCACTTCTCAAAAGAAAAAATATTTTTGAAAACCGATTGGGAACCTGAACATGAGGTAAAGTCCTCACTTGTGGATACTGATTTTTATGGTACGATGATCACCAAAAATTCTAATAGCCGTTAAGGATGATTAGCTTATTTGGTCAAGGCACGTTCAACAAGGAACCATAATGGACACCAAATTTTCATATTGCAGACTAATCCTTACTTATCTCAAGTTCAGAGTTTGATGTTGTTTGATGTTGAAAGTTGAATGAAAGACGACCCAGTTAGTGTGGTTATTGAACTATCCTAATGACAATTTGTGATGTGAATATTTTGGGTAAGGGACACTTACACCACTACCAGATTGTCTTCGATTATGTGTGGCCACTACGTAAGCCAAAAAGCTATCTTTCTGGAAAAGAGCTTTTATTTGAACAGACTATCTGAGGGGAGTCTCTGTATTGCTGCGATGCAAATGAATGTGGGCACTGTTAGGCTGACAGTGCGGCACATATTTTTCCGTGGACTAACTTATTCAAGAATAGAACTCTAACGTCTCGGAAGAGCCTCATATATCTGTTACAAAATATGTAAGTGACAGTCTCGAGTATGACTAGCAGTACTTTTCTATGAAAGGCGAACTTAAGGTAAATTTTTGCTTGATTGATTGCAGGCTTGCGAGTGTTGAATCTTACTTGACCTTATGATAACTTCCGCATTTGTTTGCTTACTCCGCCCATGTACTTTTGATCTCCAGTTGTTTTGCTTATTCGCACCCGCCACTCACCTTGTCGCAGAGACCGTCCTGTATGACACTTGTGTATTGACATGTGTCCATGTGTGAATGTGCGTTCCTAACCTACTTACCCATCATGCGCGTTCATGCCCTGCTTGGTGAACTTGCCTCGACTTGTTTTCCCATGAGTTCCGTGTGATTGCAAGTCCAATGAGAATCACGAGACCGTCGTCGGAAGGAACGACCGCAACCCACGCTGCTGAGCCATCATTCCGCTCGCCGTTGTTTGGTTTGCGGACGTTGACAATGCGATGTGCCGGTCCGCGATAGACCTGTGAACTTGTTGACGCTACGAACGTGAACAACTGAGGTTTGTTGTACACATCTGCTTACCCTTGTGTAAATAGTACCGTAGAATTACGCAACCAATTCTTCCTTTTGATATTCGGGATTGTCGAATCTACGCGTCACTCAAAGTTCCGTATGGGTGACTGTGACTACCGTGTTTAACGAATCACAAAACATCCAGCTATATTCAGCCGTTACTGTGAAAGGTGTCACATTACAACCAACAGAACCACTGCGGATAATTTTGCTGACCAGGCCGGCAGATGCACAGCTACTGTATGTGACAGCTCCTCAAACCATCACGCTTTTACTTTCGCTGACCCCGAAAAGACTTGCCTTCGAGTAGCAACCAAAAGCCACTTTAACAGGCCGACGGCAAGCGGGATGAGGGCGGATACACCTAACTGTGGTCAGTCTGGTTCATCAACAGTTTTCAACACCGATGCTTTGCTGCCGTACAACCATGATTTATTTGAAAGCCTTGTTGTGAAGAAAAGTACAAAGGTGGACGGGGAATGGAATTAGTGCTAGCTTACTGCAATCATTCCGAAGTGCCTACACCTTCAAACACTCATTAAGGCGATTTGGGTAGGAACTGACAACAAGGCCGCTACTGACATCGGTTGGCAGCCATGTCTTGAAGCGCCTCCATTCAGGTACTGTGAAAATCACGCGGTCGCCATCCTGGAAGGCGAGAAGCACTGACAGTCGGGTTTGGCTAATTACTACTGGGTGATAATGACCACTGGAACGATAAAGCTGTATAACCTGCAAAGCCTTCCTTACTGACCAATCTCACTTGATCCAGACGGAATTCTTCAATATCTGATTGACTACAAGCATATTTCTTGTCTCCCGTGGTTCTCCTAACTTGAGTCAGTCAACGCATTTGGGGTTTCTTTGATGTTTTTTCCGTAGACCTATTGTTAGATGACTCCGCTAAATCTTTTATTTATCGAAAGTTCTATGGTTCAGGGTTTCCGCACAAAAAACTGATCCAGCCTTGCTTCGAAAGGTGCTGCAATCAGCGCAAAACCTCAGTAGTGCTGATATCCGGAATCTGGTCAGAACAGCCTCACTGATACAAGCTGGCTGCTGCGGAGTTTTGATCATGTGCGCATGAGCTCCCTCTATCTAGAGCCATGTTTTTTATGCTGTAAATACTGACTTTGCTTTTGGGAATAAGATAAATGAAGCCCAATTGCCACATGCATGTGAATATTTCACCAAATCGGGGGCTTTGTTTCATTGTAACAAGGGACATGTTAATGAAGAAATACTCCCGATCCCCACTGGAATTTCTCTCTCATTGTGGAATAACATCTATTTTTACATCAGTATGCATCGTCCGGTAAAGATGAAAAAGTGATAACTCATGTGAATAACACATATTTACTACGATACGATCTCGTGTTGTATATCTTTAATTATATGTACGAATAGTATTCAGTGGGCCATTTTTGTGGTCACATCCAGACGAAGGGTTATTGGATGGTCACTGGTGTTTGAGGTTAGTATGTATACGATAGTCAAAATAATCAACCCTAAGCTGCATTAAACTTTTCGATTGACGTGCTTTCATTTGCCTTTTGAGGGAATTTCGTGCTTCTCGCATCGGTATGCCTGTATCTGATGACAGAGAATTCTAAGATTAGGTGTGATTTCGTGCCACACTCGTACAGCGTCAATAACCCGCTGAGCAAAGTGCCTCATAAAACGGATGCATTGCTTTCAGTCAGGCTAGCGGAGTTCAAAAGCTTTCATGCCGTTCACCCATATTCATCAATCATGTTGCTTTGAAAAACGTGAAAATTATTTACAAATGGCTGGTTATTTTATTCAGGTTCTGACTTTACTCTCGCGCTTTTCAAAATCCGGTGTCCCACAAAACCGCCTTGCATGAGCCATCGTAAAATCGACGGTTTTATGTTTTTGTTTCTGTCCTCAAGTGGCAGAATTCCAACTTTGCGAAACAATACGGTAAACTGTTAATTTGTTGAAATATTGGTAGCTCGGGTGAGTTTGTTAGTTTTTGATCAGGTAGCTGTTGATCTGTCCACCGAGCTTGGTAATTGGCTTGCAAACGTTTCGTCACCAAACGTGGAGACATCATTCCTCAACAATAGCCAAGAAATTTTTGGTAAAGCTCTGATCCCTAGTACTGATGGTCCCCCGTTCGCCAGGTTATAACCCATCCATGCTATCTCTCCAATGAGGTCGACCTCGTGTGGGGTCAACAGGGCCACCGGTGTGAATTCCGAAAATCCGTTCGATGAACGACAGGAACAGTTCGCCCAACCGTTTTGTCCATATCTTGCCAAACCGCCTGAAAATGTCACTTGCTACGTCAAATAAGGAAACCCCAATAGCCATTCAACTTTGACACCTCTCCTAAATCCAGTTTCCACCCTACCCGTAGCAAGCGCAAGACGTGGGATACACTTGGATGTCCGGGTTAACTAGACTGAAGTGGTCGAGATGCCAAAACCTGGTTTGAGACACGGAACTTCCAGCCACCAAGTTCGGTTCTTAACCACTCGGCCAGCTCTGGCTACGCCATACTGCTTCGCTGGTTCAAATAGGCTGAGAGAGCTGGACGGAGGAGGAGCGTCCGTCTCATCAGCCTTTTTTGATCCGCTAACAGTCATGATTATTCTAAGCTCAACACTGCGTTTACTGTTCGTCATTGCCAGCGCTAGTTGGGTGATGAGATTGGCCATGCTTCCTAAGCCCGCACATAAAGCTGCATTTTATGTATTTTATGTTCGAACATTGAATCGTTCTGAAGGAACAAGACGGAAGCAAAGTGAACAAATATTTTTGGACTGTGGATTTACTATGAACCAGACCTGGTCAAGTGAGTCCATGTGCGGACAAGTAGACTGTGATCACTATGCTCGACTTCTCTATCGATTATGATTGAAAACGAGTAGCACCAACATACTCCAGCGACGTGAGTCCAAAGTGTTTAGGAGGATAGAGTTTTTGTGTAGCTTTGCGCGGCTGCAGCTTATCATTGCATGGATAAATATACTGTCTGAACCAAATTAGTTTGCAAATGAGTGTATATTCGCTAATTTCGTGCAATTTGGTTTCAAATAGAACATAAGGTTGACGGAAACCCGGAAACTGCACCTATCTCATGAGCCCCAAAAAGGGTGAAACCGGTCGTGGGCTGTCGATGGATTTTCAGCAACCTTACAAAGACCCTATTTCTGTTTCTGACCTCCTTTACAGTCTGCAGTTTCCTACGGAGGAATTTTATCTTGGTTGGACCAGGAAGTGATCCATCTGGCCAGTAGTTTTTTTCGGCTAGAAGCGCAAGTTGTGTTGAAGGCGCACAAGTTGAGAACGCACAGTAGATATAGGCCAGTGAAATTTCTCTCTCTCTCTCTCTCCGTTTACTGAGACCAGACTTTCCAAGAATAGGGCTGATTAGCTCAGTATACAGGTTTGTGTGTGCATTACAATATCTCATCCGTTTGCAACATTTTGTGGCTGCTTGTAAACCTCATTTTCGTTTGAGACTTGGTGAGGGAATGGACGCTGATGGGATAGGATGGGTAATGGATGTGCGACGCACACCTCACTGACGGGATGTCCCTTGAAACCAGCCACACCCATCCCCGAGGACGACGTTCTCATGAGGCAAAGTGCTTTCTATGGGGGTTAGCAAATGAGGAGCCTCAGAATTTTTGCTGGTCACATCAATATTCTGGTCCACAATATTATGACAAATCAAGAAGCTGCTACCAAAGAATTCGATTCTGATAAGTGGCCTATATGCATCATGCAATCGTGCAACGTATAATAGGAAGTTGGTGCCAAAATCCAGGGAAACTTCGGGCTCTCCAGTAAAAGTGGAATCTACTTCCCAATATATATATATGGTCACATATGGTATCGATCAGTCCATTCATCAGGACGGTGGAACATCGGTTGCTTATTGCCGGTACCGAGGCAGTATTTGTGAGACCTTGGAAGCGAATGAAGTAAAGAGAAACGTCAAATCGGATGTCAAAGTAGTTAACTTATAGAGATGGTAACTGATGAATTTTATACACTGCCTACACAAGTGGTTCGGCCATCATAGTAAAAAAAAGTACGAGAAGTTCAGTGCACGTCTAATTATTCTGCAGGTGTGAGCTTTGGTAGCACGTTTAACACAAGCATAGAGATTCAAACATTCCTGCGTGATAGCATGAATCCAGTTTATGATATTCTTCAACTGAATGTGGTCCACAAAGGCCTCCTCATTATCCATCGATGCGATATTCGAGATAACGCAGTATGTTATTATAAAAGAAACTATTCTCAAATTCTCTGAATACTCTTCAAACATCATAAACCAGATATTCAGTTGAATCTCCTGTGAAAACCAAATTCATACGCAGTGTATATGTCAAAATCCTTCCAATTCGGACCTAAGTAGAACTTAATTTTGACGGAAACTCAGGGACTGTACCTATCTGAAGAGCCCCAAGAAAGACGAAGGTTTTCGAAGAAATTTCAGCAAACTTGTCGGTATTTATCTTTATGAACCTGTGTTTTATTATTCATTTAACTACTTCCGTCACATTATTTATAGCTTTCACGAAACATGTAGCTTCATGTCGAGAGGAACACGATACAGTTGCAAGACCTGATTCGATTGCAGAAAACAGGGGTTTTAAGCCTACCGATTCTTTCGATAGCAAACACATTCCATCACGAGTTTTGGTGACTGAGTCTATTGGATAATTTTTATGACATGTCAGTTTATAAGACAGATTTTGATGTCACTAGTAAGCACCCATTATCGTTTGGTATGCAATCTATATGCACATTTGTTGCACATCCTGTTTCATCCTTGGAGATTTTCATAGCTTACATACGGAAAACGTATAATGGATAGTCTTACAAGCAGTTAGAGAGTGCAGCGACGGCTCCGTTTTCGCACATATTTGTACGTCAGTCCTTGATAATAGTGTGGGCTACTACACCGAAGAATTACACTTCTACGGGGGATATGTAAAAGGCACCTTTGTAACTTTGAAAGTCGCCATACACGCAAATTCACGCAGCGCAACTCCTTGCGGCTGGACACAAAAGATGCCGGAATGACCGGTTTCAAATTGTCTGTTGCTGTAATTTGGTTGCATATCGTTTATCTCAACAAGAGGCAGCCTATAAACAACATCAAGTCAAAAGTGGCAGCATCAGAACTAAGTAAAACAGCCGTTCACGCCAGGGATTAGCTATGAAATCTGCACTGTTGATGTGCTATTCCCTTTTCTTCAGTTCTCTGACCGTAAATCTACTGTTCCGGATTATTTGACTAGAATACATGGGTTACAAACTCTATTCTGTTGAGTGCCGCACCGACAGAAATCATGTATTTGTAACACCTTTGTTCAGCAGTTTCCCGTTGGTAAAGTGATTATTGTAAGGCGTCACTCCTATGCCCCTGGGTTCTGAAAATATTACAACACAGCAGTCTAGTATGAACGGTAGTGGGTTCCAGCACCGGTATTAAATTAGGGAACTTTTATGAACCCTGTCAGTGCTGAATGAGGAATCAAAATGAACCAGTCGGGGATACCCGGTGTAGCTAAGCCAATGCGCACGAGAGCACCGAATCGCAAAACAGATTCATGAAGAAACCAACCAATCTTGTGAAGTGCACACAGTTATCAGCACAGCCGAACTTATCTGTCTAAGAACAAACAATTCTCCTGTGTAAACTGACTGAAGCAGACCAGAAGAGAATCCATCAGGGCTGATAAGAGCAAGTCGCGGAAATGATTTTTCGGGATTTCGATTAACAGTAACATTAAATCCTAGCTGTGCGGCGCTTGAAAAAAAAACTAAAGTTTGTCATCCTCCTCGTTAGAAAAATATGTGCGCCACACGCCTTCACAATTGGTGTGCAACTGAAAAAGAAACACTTTTCAATCATTCTCATACTGAGTGAAAAGTTTGCCGTTCTCCATAAAAAACTTAGGGTTTATTTAGAATTCTCATTTTATACATAACCAATCAGACAAAGCAATGAATTGATCTTTTTGATATATTCGATGTTTTGTGTTTTCGTAAATGTGTCTGATAATGAGCAGGAACAAGAAAACGTCCCAACAACTCACACAAAAAATGGTGTTGCGAGCATCTTTGTCGGTCAGTCACGGAAGAGACACAAAATTATATCCCAGCTCAGACTAATTTGGCCGATGAACCTGCTTTTATGCAATCCGAGAGGATCTTTCACTGCGACACTGCCATAATTAGCCAGCCACTGACGTCTTTGAGCTAGTGTCGATTAAGCTTAATGGGTGAGGCTATTAACTCAGTTACTCAAATCGCACTGTTTCTCCAGTCTGTTCCCTGCGCCAGCACGTCAAGAGTGTTGGGTCTTCCTAGTTCACTCATCCATTTTGAACCAGGATTTTTGGCCCAGTGGCACTGAGAGGTTTTGGTTTGTGAGCAGTCCTACACACAAAAATATATTAAAAATTTGCAACGCAAAATCTTCAGTAAAAATTCAACATCTCATTGTATCATCAAACTATAACTTGCATTCACATCACTATAGATTAAGCGGTTCTCTCAACATCTTCTGCAATCTTTCTGCAGAATGCAGACCAAAGAAATGAAGTATGGAATTCGAGTTTTTCACTCACTGATAATTAGCAGCGTATATCTCTTGCAGGAGAAGGGCTGTTCAAAGGACGGCGTTTTCGATATAAACTGTACAAATCCATCAAAAACCATCTACATACAATTAATCTGCTTCGAAAAAGCAACACCTGATTGTTTTGCATGCACTTTTCATTTGAGAGGTTGCCAAACAAAAAGCCAGACGACACTCGATCGCGTGAAGTGAACTGTTAGACTGAAGAGTGAGGATGGTACATCATTCTAAGTATGAGTCAGTCACTCGCGGCCAAACCGTTTAGTCTTCAACTACTAGCCTGGAGGTTTTGGGCTTGAATATCCTCAGATGTGCACGAGATGCTCAGTGGTGATGATTCCAAACAAGGTCAACCAAGCATATAGTGCCTCCTGACTTTTCCGAACAGATTGACTCAGTTACTGAACGAAATTACCACTGAATGTTCACAATATCCTCACATTTCCATCCACCTGAAAATGGTTAGTCCAATCGCTTACACAGGTTTGTGAGAGTCTATGCGAAGCACCCACTGGGTGTTCCAAAATGTAAGCGAGTTACGAGAATCAGTTGAAGGAATCACGTTGGTCGTTGCCGGCTCCTTGGATGAGGATCATGAAATAGGACAATGGGTATAGTTGTGTCAAAGATGTTAGCNGAGAGTCTATGCGAAGCACCCGCTGGGTGGTCCAAAATGTAAGCGAGTTACGAGAATCAGTTGAAGGAATTACGTTGGTCGTTGCCGGCTCCTTGGATGAGGATCATGAAATAGGACAATGGGTATAGTTGTGTCAAAGATGTTAGCACTCTATAATTCACACGGTCATCTTCAATGCAAAGCTAATCCAAATGAGAGTACACTAACACCCCCGTAGTTGCGCCTCCAATGCCCCCTATTCTTCTCATTTCCCATAATCACCGGTAAACAAAATGCGTTAACTGGGGATACTGTACCGCAAGCACGTGGATTTATAGCAGCAGCTGCTGATGTTGATGATGATGATGAGGATGATGATGATGGTGGTAATGATGATGATGTTGATGATGATGATGATGATGATGATGATGACGATGATGATGATGATGATGATGATGATGATGCAACAAGAGGCTGCAAGCACCTCGTGTAAGGGAGAATTCTAAGAGGAAAGTTTGGACCTACCTAAAGCCTTTTGAATTAATCTCAGGTTTTATTCAAATGAATTTTTAGGTGGCGCAAATTAACGTCGGTAGAGTTTGTCCAATCTGTTAACACTTCCAGCTTTAAAACCTTTGTGCACTTGGATAACCTGAATGTCTATCACTTTCCGAGACTGCGCTAAACTTTGAATCCCGTCACAAATATGAATGCAGAATATAAAAATGTTACGAATAGATCAGTCGAACTAAAAGTTGGACTGTCGTGGTGAAACAGGATCAGTCAGTTACAACCTCATTTAAGAAATCACACATTTCCAAACCGGGCTTAAGGTACCTCCCAGTTGTAGAAATGTGCTTTCTCCTATGCGTCTCAGAAATAACGGCCATTGCATTTCATTGAGCCACTTTATTGTCAGGCTTAATGATTTATCTGTGGGAGACATTTACCGTGTAGTTTCAGAACTGCACACATACCAGCTGCGAACCCTGATTGGATATCTTTAAACAACGACTCACGAGAGTGTATAACACTTCTCATGAATAGTGAGGCTGAAGTGACTTCTATTTTCTACGAGGCATTTGGCTCATTTAATGAATCTTGGAAGATATTAAGTGCGGATCCAGCTTGAAGTGTGAAATGTGTGCATCTTGTAGTCTGTGTCGCAAGATGAATCAAAATGAGGACAAGCGAAGCCGGTTACAAAATCTGGGTCAGTGTAAACTTCGTTCGAAGGATCAGACGAGACGTCGGTCTTCTTATTTAAAATGTCCATGATATTGGCATTTGAGTCTGCTGAGCTGTTGGAAACAGTAGCAAACCAGTTTACTTTGACCTATAAACTTGTCTGCAAACTGNCCCCTCCAGCGAAGCACCACTGATGTTATGCTGTCAATGATGATGATGGTGATGGTGATGGTGATGATGATGATGATGATGATGATGATGATGATGATGATGATGATGATGATGATGATGATGATGATGATGATGATGATGATGATGCAACGAGAGGCTGCAAGCACCTCGTGTAAGGGAGAATTCTAAGAGGAAAGTTTGGACCTACCTAAAGCCTTTTGAATTAATCTCAGGTTTTATTCAAATGAATTTTTAGGTGGCGCAAATTAACGTCGGTAGAGTTTGTCCAATCTGTTAACACTTCCAGCTTTAAAACCTTTGTGCACTTGGATAACCTGAATGTCTATCACTTTCCGAGACTGCGCTAAACTTTGAATCCCGTCACAAATATGAATGCAGAATATAAAAATGTTACGAATAGATCAGTCGAACTAAAAGTTGGACTGTCGTGGTGAAACAGGATCAGTCAGTTACAACCTCATTTAAGAAATCACACATTTCCAAACCGGGCTTAAGGTACCTCCCAGTTGTAGAAATGTGCTTTCTCCTATGCGTCTCAGAAATAACGGCCATTGCATTTCATTGAGCCACTTTATTGTCAGGCTTAATGATTTATCTGTGGGAGACATTTACCGTGTAGTTTCAGAACTGCACACATACCAGCTGCGAACCCTGATTGGATATCTTTAAACAACGACTCACGAGAGCGTGTAACACTTCTCATGAATAGTGAGGCTGAAGTGACTTCTATTTTCTACGAGGCATTTGGCTCATTTAATGAATCTTGGAAGATATTAAGTGCGGATCCAGCTTGAAGTGTGAAATGTGTGCATCTTGTAGTCTGTGTCGCAAGATGAATCAAAATGAGGACAAGCGAAGCCGGTTACAAAATCTGGGTCAGTGTAAACTTCGTTCGAAGGATCAGACGAGACGTCGGTCTTCTTATTTAAAATGTCCATGATATTGGCATTTGAGTCTGCTGAGCTGTTGGAAACAGTAGCAAACCAGTTTACTTTGACCTATAAACTTGTCTGCAAACTGTTGAGTGGAGCATAACTCAAGAGGTTCCAGGGAGGTGGCCATTGTCAAAAGCCCCGAAAAGACCTCTAGTGATTGACAAACTAACGATTTGTCGGGAACCTCATAATATCACAATGGGAATCAGTTGGTTTGTCTTCATAGGATATATGCAAGAGCAACTCTGGAAGAAAGCGGCACATACAATTGAAATTATCACGACCTTTGGTTGCAACTGACCAAAAGTTAGTTTAGGATGACATGCGTCCCGTCTGCGAAAGGGTGAAATAGTCAACTGAATGCCATTTAGAGTATATCGCTTAGAGGAACATGCCGCATCCTGAATCGATGAGTTTTATCGGTTATCTCTTTGAATCCTTCTTTTTCGAACAAACCGCTAGAATGAGTCTTTTTTGGCCCTTAAAGCTTATTTTCGTCTTAGCACAATTCGGCTCCGTGGCAGCAGACTCGTGATCTTACGGCATCCCCACCCAACTTAATGGGCTGCCGTTGTAACCGAATGATATACTCATATCTTATGTACGTAAGGATAGTGTAACGCATTTGAAACCCGACTGTACCTGATGTATGCCTATTCATATGACATTATGTGTGCCTCTCCCTCCCTCTCTTCCCCTATTACAGGTACCACGGATGAGGGATATAGGACAGGGAAGAATAGCCTTGGAAACGGATGTCTGTATTGCTTTGCTGAACAAGGATAACACATCAGTCAAGCGGCGGGAACTATGGGATGTCATTCGTAACGCAGTTGAAACTCGACTGCACCCCCCTAACTGACCTTGACCCGACCCTGTACACACCCCCCGCTTCCGGTTTCGGTTTCGCTCAATACACGTGTGTCGTTACCACACTCCGGCCTTCTCCCTTGTTCCACCCGACCTGTGCGCATGTGTGCTGTGTATACTGTGTGGATTCATTAATACCAGTCCGTATATCTGCACATTTCAGAACTGACGTGTGCCGTCCTCTCGAACGTCGAATACCGCTGACTTCCTGACATCCCACGCTACAATAGTTCGTCACCTGACATGAAGGCGGATTTTGCCTTTCGGTTTACAATCTCACATAGTAAAGGGCATCTTAATTAACGGTTGCCTGCTAATGAATACGTTCCTCTCTTCCCCTATTACAGGTACCACGGATGAGGGATATAGGACAGGGAAGAATAGCCTTGGAAACGGATGGCGATACACATCAAAATTTATTTTACTGACAGTGGGGAACTTTGCTCCTGGCAAATCCTGTATAACTATGAGCAAGCAACAGCCTCTACATTTTGCTCAACATCCTTGAGAGGACAGGACCGAAATACAAACCATTTTAGCGTGCACTTAGTATGGCTTTAAAAATTGCATAAAGTTGGAATTGAGTGTACAGCCTTGTTTTACGAAAATGACACTGCAAAATATCGTAACCTACGGTCAACCTCAGAAAGAAGCTTTTAAGCTCCAGTCCGGGAGATTAAAAGAATTTGGAAAACCGGAATAATTTGAGTGACCAGAGAAAGCTGATGACAGAATGGTTTGAGAAGTGACGCACATCATAACTTTGGTGGATATGTTTCCCTCGCATTTTGAGATGGCGGGATAACTCTGGATTAGTGAGCAAATCCTCTAGTCTAATTGAGAATGCTGAAAACGTTGGCCAATGCATAAACAAGAATGAGAATTGAGTGAACATTTTCTCCCAGTGAGGAATTTAGCGCAACGTATTGCACTATGAAAAAGGGTTCTGTCGTATGGTCACAAAAATAATGCGTTATAAAGAGGAATAGGCTGTACAATCTAATTAACAAGAATCACGTGGTCCAAAGGGATATCATTTACTTTTGAATAACCTCGTTACGAATGTTTGCTTACATTATTTATGGAGGATTTCGGTGAATGCGACCTCTCCTAAACACCACAATACAATACACCAGAATAGGTTTGATTATCCATTTGTCAGCGGCAAAGTACCCAAAGCGATCAATGAGATGATTTGACCTCTACCTATTTTCCTCCATACAGAAGAAGATGTACCAGGCGTGGGAGGCCTGTCTTGGTGTCAGGTATTCTAGATGTAACAAAGTATGCACACATACTATCTAGATTTAGAACGACTGCCGGCACCGCAAATGCGCGTTAAATGCAGCTCGAACAATGTCGGGGAAAACTTCAAACGTTTGAAATGATTGTCGTAATGGGGAAGACTAGCTGACGCATGCGAATTGAAAAATAGATTTAGCCCGAAGACACATATACCATCATCGCTCGAACTTCTGCTGCCCCAATGGGGTCGGCTGATTCACCTAACATGACATAGTGACACATTGTGGAGGAGTTCGGGTAGCTTGGCCGAGATTCCAAGGGTTTGTTGCAAGAAATAAACTGTAGTGCCATCTGATGTGCTGGGATAAACTAAGACTTATTTATCCGTTGAGCAAGTCACAATATTGAATAGTGTGCTTTCATATCACGCTCATTTAGGTGATTCGACAGCAACTGAACAAGCATAGTAATTTCACCTGTTGTATTCTACACTTGCCATTAAATTATGTAGAGTTTACTGGGTGTCCCGAAAGCGGAAATGCCCGTTTTGATTTGCATACCAACATGCGTTTACATGAAACTAGAAATGGTTACGGGGGAGCATCGCTGTAGTTTCGGAGCGTATTTAGCCATAAAATTCCTTTGAAGACGTTTCGGAATTTATCAGATGCCACCTCAAAAATCATCGTGCGTCATATTTCCGGCTCGACTAGTGTGTGTTCTGATTCCTGACATTTAAGGGTGCTTACAAACCCCAGTTCCAGGAAGGATCGGTGTGCCCAGGGGCTGCTGGTGGTTCAGTGGTTTCAGTGTGTGACATTATTTTCGTTCCCAAATCGTCGCGCGATCGAGCAAAAGTAGAGGGCTCATCAACTGACAAATACACTCATTTGTTTTTGACGGAAGGCTCACCTGGAACCTAGCTGAATCCATCGCTTATGGTGTTCTTAAGCAACTGAATGTGCTGCATCACCTCAAATTTCAGTTGGCACGATATTCGAGATAGAGGGACCCGTTGTATAACCGTAATACACTACTCACAAGGCTTCAGAAAACCCTTCGA